TCGGGCGGGCGGGAACGGTCGTCCGTCGCGGCCGTACGGCACCGTTACGCCTGACGGCTCCGTTCGTGATCGGGCACTCGCACCACTGCAGCCTCCACCCTCACTTAACACTATAAATAAATCACCGATACACGCAGCCTGCCTGCCTGTCACACAAGGTGAAATTGCAACATTTTTTATTTATATAGTCTTATTGAACTTTCTAAACATTTCTCTATTGTATAAGAAAAACCAAACATCTATTCCCTGTTAAAAGATAGTTAAATATTTTTGTTACTTAGTAATGAACTCAAACTTCAATTTAATTAAACAACTGTCAAAGTAAAAGTGAATTGATAGCGCAAATATGAAGTGAGCATCAACTTTAATTAACTTTTATAATTATTTACTCCAAGACAAATAAGCTTATGCCTAGGGTTGCCAACTTTTTTTTACAAGAAATCATATTAGCTCTGAGAAAGAAAATATACAGTATTCTAGAAAATGAACAGTATTTAATATTTACAATGTTTTAAAGACGTTGTAGTGTTAGGTATTTCGATAAAGAAAAGCACAGGTGACTCACCTTAACACTGAACATTCACACCAGTGTTAAGGTGGAGATTTTTTTTCCGACCTTTCACACTGTCGCACTTTCAAAGTTAAGGGTGAATGTGGGTCGGCTCCAGTCTTAACGTTGGAAATGTATTTCATAAGCAAATAAATAATCATTGTATTGGATTGGAAAGAAAAGGTTATTGTATGTTTGCCCTGGCATCAGATTTATTAATTTACCTTGTTTTTTGCAACTTTAGTGTACTAACTGACCTTAACTGACCAAATAATATGCAGCCAACCAGCCCCAAATAAAATTGTAATATTGAATCTAGTCGAGCCACTTTTTTACACTGAACTTTGATAGTGTTACTGTGCGAGTGAAGGTCGGGAAATATATATCGCCTCCTTAACACTGATGTGTAAAAACAGTATTTTGTATAGTTACTTTATTTTGTTCAACAGTAATTAAGTATAATATAGTGAAAAACAGTATAATACTGTCATATTCAGTATAGTAGTTGTCAACCCTGCTCAAGACAAATTAAATATAATTAAATAAATAAATATTTCCAACACTCACACCAATTAGCCTAGCCCCAAAGTAAGCACTATAAGGCTTGTGTTATGGGATGCTAGGGTAACGGATAGAATACATATACTGTACATATATAAGTATATTTATAAGAAATAGATATTAAACATCCATGACTGGAGTACAAATGCTCGTATTCGTCGCCGACTCGAGATGTCCCGGGTTCGAATCCCGGTGGGGGCAGATGTTTGTGCGATATTGCCAATACATGTTGTAGGTGGCAAATTAATAAAAAAAAATAAGGTAGTAGAAATTTTAGCAAATACAAGTACCTAGTCGTTGAAATCACTGCAAAACTTATCTTTGTAAGTAAATTAAAGACAATTTAATTTGTTAAATCTCATTGGAGGTTTTATGATAATATGAAAAGTTTATTGATAGGCAAAGGGAAAATAATAAGAATATATTTTCTTTCATTTCATCATGGACGAGTAAAGAAGTTGCAATTCTTTATTGAAGTTTGTATTGCAGTACAATTTTAATGAACATAATTAAGCTGTTAATATTTACTTTTAAAAATAAACTACTTTTAAATATTTATTTGTAAAATGTAGTTGAAACAAGGTCCATGATAAAGATTTGACGACCTCCGTGGCCAAGTGGTATATCCGATTGTACGCCAGGTGTCAAGGTGTCGCCTACTCGAGAGGCTTCGAATCCCGGTGGGGGCAGATTTTTGTGTGATGAATATGAGCATTTGTACTCCAGTCATGGATGTTTAATATGTATTTCTATGTAAATATATTAGGTCCTTACATATGAAATTAGGCTGTATACAGAAAAAAAGCTGGAAGCCGACCAGCGCTGATCAGCGCTGGTCCATACCGGTAACCGGCGCAGGCATTTCTATGGACCAGCGTCGATAAGTGCCGACAAGCGCTGGTCAGCGCTGGCACCGCCCTTTGTAATTAATGAACAACTAGGCTTCAATCTGCTTCCTTTATGTAACTGTTACCAGTAAGAACCAGCGCTGATAAGCGCTGGTCGGCTTCCAGCTTTCTTTCTGTATACGGCCTTAGCGTTTTGGTTAATAATTCCAAATTCAAATTAATAAAATCATTTAGCTGGTACATTATTTTGAGTTTTCAAAACAGTCATTCTTTTTTCCTTGGCGTCGCATATTACCGCACAACGGTAAACATGAATTATTGGTATATTTACGAGTACGAGTTCTACCGTGACACCAGTGCTGCAGAAACAGCTGTCGGTGTCGCAAAAGAAAGCACGGTTTCACCGTTGTCGTTCTGGAAATCTCGACCTTCAGAACGAACTCCGTGGACGGCCAGAGACCAAAGTGGAAAATGAAGAATGAAGGCTATTGTGGAAGCGGATCCATACTGCAGGCTTCGGGGTAAGCGACAAAACTGTATTAATCCACTTGAAGCAAATCAGGAAAGTAAAAAACCTTGAACGATGGGTCGACTGCTGTGTTACTTTGCTCAACCGACACAATAATGAAGGGATTTTTAATCGAATCATTACTTGTAATAAAAAGTGGATACTGTACGATAATCGGAAGCGCTCGTCGCAATGGCTAAACCCTGGAGACTCAGCCAAATCCTGCCCTAAATGAAAATTGACTCAGAAAAAGTTACTTATGAGTGTTTGGTGGACTAGCGCTGGTGTTGTTCACTACAACTTTCTAAAATCTGGCCAAACGATTACCGCAGATATCTTTGGCAGCAACTACAAACCATGAAGGAAGAACTAGCTGCTAAACTACCGAGATTTGTCAATCGCTCTAAGCCACTGCTGCTTCACGACAATGCAAGACCACACACTGCACAACAAACAACCACTAAGTTTGGAATTGAAATATCTGCGAAAAATTCGCGAATCTGTGAAAAATTGGAATGTCTGCGAGTATGGTGGATACCATACTCCCCAGACTTTGCTATAACAGATTACCATTTTTTCCGGAATTTGGACCAATTATTTGGATATTACAAGAAAAAAAATTCAACTCCAATGTGGCAGTCCAAACTGGCTTCAAAGATTTTATTGATTGCTGCCCACATGGTTTTTTTGTAAAGGGTTCAATCAACTACCTGTGGGATAGCAAAAGTGCATAGATAACAACGGTGCATATTTTGATTAATTAAATATATTTTACAAAAAAAAAGAACTTTATATGCCACCCGTACATAACGCCAATTTAATATGTAAGGACCTAACAAATATCAGCATATGTATTCTATCTGTTACCCTAGAATCCCATAACACAAGCCTACAGTGCTTACTTTGGGGCTAGGCTAATTGGTGTGATTGTTGGAAATATTTATTTATTTATAAGATCATAACAAGAGGAAAGTTTTTTAAGTAGTTATCTCTTCCAAATAGTCTCATTTTCTATGTTACTTAGCTAACTGCCACAGAATCCCTATGGTGCAGGTAATTGAGTAAATTAGCAGCAAAAGATGAGTTGTACTGATTAGAATATTTTATAAATCAAACTATATAATTAAAATATTAAAGGTTTTAACAATCAACGTCAATTACAATGTTGATGTTGTACAGTGACAACCCAGGAAATTGAAATGAGTTCATTATACAAATTAACTCAGTTTTTCGTAAGCAACAACCCACTTATCATATTCATCAATACATTCATATAAGATTAATTTATTTAATAGATTTTCTCCTAAGAAAAACTGTTATTATCAACTCATTTCGGTTTACTGTTGTAGGAGGATATTGTTGTATATTAAACAACTTGTAAACAAAAGTAGTCAAGGAGTTGAGTAAAATAAGAAAATATATTTTTAAGGTAAACTAATATTTATCACATAAGAAGAGATCATTTGTAACTAAGATTGTACTATTTATTTTCTTTTACTTTGATAGTCCACACAAAAGGTTTTTTTATTAGTATCATTGTAATAAAGAGAGGTAAAATAATATTGTTTCCAATTATAAAACAAAATAATATAAAGGTATAAAATTAGTTAAATGATAATTTTCATTTTTGCAATATCCAGAAACTTGTTTCTCCTCAATGTCACTCTGGCATCTTCTCTATTTTTAAAAACAGTTGTCAACACAAAATGATTCATGGTCACAATCCAGCTGGCAAAGTCTCAAGTAACCCTGACTGATAGCTCGATAACTAACAATATAAATGCCTTCAGGAGTCAGAGATATACCTACTATCTTTGTATCTACCATTTATACAGTGACTTCTTCTGCATTAAATTGATTCTCAATATTAACTTCAATGCTCCAGTTTATTCTCTTTCAAGTTTAATAAAAAAAAAAAAATGTTCTCCGAGTCTGAATTGCTTCAGCTATTTAGGTGTGAAACCTAACAGGCAAAGTAACTTTCTCATTTATAATATAAGTACAGAATAGCATTTTAGGTTGACTAGAGATTGTAATTATAATACTGGTAAACCTGTTTCAAGTAAGGGCATACAAATAAAAAAAGTTACAAAATGAAGAAAGTATACCAATTATTTAAATTTTTAAGAATTTATTTCTAAAAACACTAAGTCCTATTTGAAATCAATAACTTATCATTATTAATATAACACTCAATTATGAAATGGCAAATGCAAAATTCATAAACGCAATTAGATGTTTATAAGTTTCCATTAACATAAAATTACTCTACTATTTTCATATAAATTGAGAATTTCCCTTTGAAATTGAAATATTCCCTGATAATATATATAAATATGCAAATTTTTAATTGAAATATCAACAACTTACACTCATTCAATGATATAAGTGTGCTTCTATAAATCTGTAGCTATGCAATTGGGTATAAGAAATATGCAAATAGGTTTTCGTTTTAACAAGACCACTTGGTATACTTAGGACTGCTCTGACTGATTTATCAAAGTTAGTAAGAATTCAAAGTAGCAATACATACCATTTGGCCCATATTTCTCTTGATTCCTTTTGATTTGATCTGGAGTAAGGCCTTTGTCTGGGTCTGTGCCAAAATAGCCTAAAACTTCTTCCACGGATTTCGAGTGAGCGTCCTCCATGGTGGAATAACTACGTTGCCGTCAGTTCTAAAAGACAAGAAGAAATTAGGTTAGGAATGACGAGTCATCATTTTCAAGCTGAATATTTTTGAGGTTATGTAGATTAGGGACCAAAGAAAACATATTATCACTGAATACTTAAAAACTGAAGTAGAAACCTGAAGAAATATGAGTTAAATGCAAAATAACACTAGGTAGGTACAATTGAAACGTAGCCAGACAGAGTTTACTAGGTCGCGTAGCCCAACTGCATCGGAAATATAAGTCACTTGTTAATTACAACAATTTGCAGCACTTCAAACGGCAGAGATACGGCAATGAAGACATTTAATGGTCTAACTGGCAATTTCCGAGATGGTAAGCACTATTTGACCACTGCATCACTCACCAATTTTTTTTAAACATGAGAAAAAATGTCTAATCCTATAATTCACTTATTCAAAAAAGTCTGATATCTATTATATAGAGTCGTAACTAATGTTTGTACTAAGTTAATACTTTTTGTCGTAAATATCATAAACCACACGAACACGTATCCAATCTAGCCGTCATTTTTTCGTAAACTGACAGGAAAAAGAAGGTTCGATAGGTGGCGCCATCTATCATCTGCGTCACTAACTATTTTTATCAACTTAGAGTTTTATTATTACTAAATAATTAATTACACCGCGAAAAAATCTTATACAAACTGAACGCTTAAGTTGCAATAAAACAATTTAGGTTCGATGTTCTTTTATCATAATATAGACGAATTTAATTTATAGTTTCATACAAATGTGGAGCGTTGCTATAGGTCGAAATTGTACCACGTGACGCAATGCTATTTTTGTTCCGGAGGCGATTGTAAATTGCGGTATTTTTAAAATTTCTGTAAGTTTGTTTCGCGTTATGTAACACTTTTATCACTTGAACTTCCACCAACTTCCATTTGAATCGTGTTATTGACACTTAAAATACACTTGTTTGATCACATTCACAAGTTATCCGTTTTAGGAACTTACTGAGATATTTTTTTCGACAGCGTCGGGAAGGAAAGAAGAAATAAGAGTGGCGCGGGAGATGTTTTCCCTCCGCGCCCCGAGTAGCGACTCCCGGGCGAAGAGCGACGATTTTAGAGCGGCGCGGGCGCGGTGGAGGGATACTGACTGAAGTTTCTTTAATTATTTTGGCAACTGTACTCGATGCCACTGCCGAGTCGCTTTCCAGGGTTGCATGTCGCGAGACGGCCGTCCTATGATGATCTTTTTATAGCGACCGCTGCCCGGGTCGAGCTCACTGTACTATACTTTGATGATGATTATTGATTAGTTGGCGGGAATAAAGTCGCGGTCTGTCAATGATCAATCAACATAATTACACTATTTTTTATTAATTTTCCTTTCCGGGTGTTCATGTTATCTTCTCGAGGTCACGAATACATGCATACAATTAGTGATATCAATAAATAGGTACCTTTGAATTAATTTTATGCTTTTTTATCATTTGTGTTTACTCATAGCTTTCCCATCAGATAAATATAAAACGACCTCCATGGCCGAGTGGTTTGTACGCCGGGTTTCATGGTGTCGCCGACTCAAGAGGTCCCGGGTTCGAATCCCGATGGGGGCAGATGTTTGTGTGATGAATACGAGCATTTTTACTTTAGTCATGTTTAATATGTATTTCTATATAAATATACTTATATACATACTGTATATGTATTGTATTCGTTACCCTAGTATCCCTTAACACCACAAGCCTTACAGTGCTTATTTTGGGGTTAGCATAACATTAAGCATTGTGGTGTGTGTTAAAAAAATAATATATATATATATATATATATAACAACACAGGTGTATTTATTTAATGTTACTTGCATTGCAATGAAGGTCATTAAAGGCAGCGTGTTTTATATTATTAAAGATAGGTAGAGAGAAGATTATACTGACATAATGATAAATGTTCCTTGTCATAAAGCATCGATAACTGTTGATAACATTGATCAAACATTACCTTATTATCGGACTCATCCCCATATAATAACTAAACCCAGACGTAAAATAATCGATACACTGATGACCACAGAAATACGTATTTAACATGTCAAGTTAATTCTTCTTCATGCCATGGCATCACAACAGATAGTAAAATTAAAATGTATTCAAAACGTTGCAAGGAACTTGGATATAACGAAATCATTTGAATAATTAAGAAACAGTTTGAATCATCCATAATAATATATTGGGGAAATATTGATTCATAATGCCTGGATATGATGATTATAATGAAATACAACTCAAAATTTGCCATAAACGAGATCTGAAATTAGTACCTACCTATATCAAGGTAATAATATATATTAACGTGCCTATTTCGTCTATTCGTTCATGCGATAGAATTTTCATCAGGAAATTGTCAGATATTTGATTAACAGCTATTTAAATTTAATCTGGTATGCTTTTAAAATATAGTCTTAATTCCTTTTGCATCTGTCTAAAGTACGGGGCCCGCCGCGTCTTTTTGTCAATACAAAAACTACAATTTTAGGTTTTCATCGGCATCACGAATTTCGCCGGGTAAGCTTTTAAGTAATAAATAACAACAATATTATTTGACATTTCTGTAAAAAAAACAGTCAATAGTCATCCAAAGATCTATTTGTACACATCGAAACATTCTCATGATTGATTATTGAACGGAAAACCAGACATAATATAGAGTTTGCGAAGTGAGTGTTCTACTACGATCTAAGGGAGAATACTGCTCGCAATACCGTAGAATAATATAATCGAAATCAAGACCAAATCATCGTACCTACATTGTTCACCGAGGGTAGACGAGAGGGCCTTAATATACCCGAATTAGAAATAATACTTTCTTTAGACGGATACATAGTGCTTTATACTATAGCTACGAGGAAATAAAAGACATATTCTTCAATTGACATTTATATTAAAGTAGTTACATTTATTCTATTTTAATGTTATACTTTTACCTGGGAGCTTTATCTTTATATTGGTTTTTCATTCAATGACTGCTTGGGTATTTTGCTTTTCGGCGGCTTCAATAAATCGTCATTATCAATCTTATAATAATAAAATTTAGATATAAGGAATGTTAAAATAGAAACTGTGTGCCTAGATATCGATATTTTACTAACTAAGTGCAGTCAAACGCGTGATCCTATTACGGTTCCGTTTTTTGCTTTTGAGGTACGGAACCCTAAAAAAACAGCACGTTAGCAATAAAATTTTCTGCCTCTCAGAGCGTTCACAGTGAATTTCCATACACTTTTCCCGACCGCTCAGTTGCACAACCGATGAGGTCCTTTCTGCTTCATTTTAAAAAATAGTAATATGTTTACTAAGGGAGCAATGAAGAATTTTAAAGGCCGGAGCGTTTTTAGAATCCAGGGCGGAGCTAAGGATTCGATTTAGAGAATACGTCGCTTGATCTGAAAAATAGTGTTGCTCCCGAGGTAGATAGACTCTCTATTTTTATCACCCTTCGTGAGAAAATAAGTAAATGCAACTATGACATATAGCTATGTTTAATCTATGCAAGTGGCCCGCCAATAATGATAGCAGACGTCAGACTCTCTCGTGCTCGATTGTCAATTAATATAAGTGGAGCTTGTAACCAATAAAGTGATTATTATAATATTCTGTTCTAGTTTTATTACAAATATAAGTAAATCTTCATTCAAGTATTAAAGATAACACAGCAACTACTTGGGAGTCAATATTAGTAATAATTTCACCCCCAGTACTTGAGGAAGACAAACTCATTTTTTTATAAAACTAAATAAAATCCCAATTTAATTAAACAATTATGAACGACGGCGGAATGTATTTCAAGCCTTTTTTAACCGACTTCAAAAAGAAGGAGGTTCTCAATTCGGTCGATATATTTTTTGACGTGACAACGTCTTAAATTAGGTTGCGGCTGGGAGTCACTTATGAAAAAGTGTAACGCTCGGTAACGTTACGATGAGTCTCTCGTGTTAAGTTTAAGTTTACATGTACAATGTTTTAGTAAACAAAATATATTTCTATAGTTAAAATTAGTGCAATTCTTATTTTCATTCAATTCCTTGTTCCTATTGTGCAATTTAATTATATTCATATCAATAAATATTCTACCGAGAAAAAGACGTTGTCACGTAAAATCTTCGCCCGTAAAACCGACTTTACAGGCAACCATTTTTTAAGTACACCGATTACTTCGAGATTTCTGACCTGATTCACGTGATTCTTTATCAGTTTCGATGCGGAATAGTTGCCATTTTGTCCCAAGAAAATTTCATTCAGTTTGACTCAGAGTGTTTTTTAAAAGCATTTTTGTTAACTTCGACGATATAATTTTCACAATGCTTTGCGGTGTACTCACCGATAACTAAAAAAAAAATCTTATCTGATTTGAATGATCCTTTTTTATTGGGATATACTTGCCGTTTGAAAAAAAAAATTTAGTTTGACCTAGTAGGTTTCATTTTATGATCATTATTGTTTTCTTGGACGATGGGATTCCAATTTTGGCTAAAATGGATGAAACAAAAATTATTTCTAAACAAAAAATAAAATCCGCCTTCAAAATCGAAATGGAACTAAAAAGTAAAAAATAATATCTGGTTCATGATTTAGAAGTCGAGCGGGGGCCAAGATTGAAATATGGAATCGGTAATACGTGTTTCAATCTTCTCTCGACACCGCTCGACTTCTCACAAACCGCATATTATTTTTTTAATTTTTAGTTCTATTTTCGATTTTGAAGTCGGTTTTAAACTTTTGTTTGAAATAATTTAGTTTTTTCACTAACCCTTTTTTATTTAACAATATAGGCATTAAAACGTTATTTTATGTCCCTGTAAATAGAGAACAAACCAGATCTTTGTGAATAGATGTGATAAAAAATATATAGTACATTACTGCAGCGGGCAGCCACAGAGGCGTGGATGGACGAACGTTAAAATAACTAGTCTGGCCATAAATACTGTTCCATAAAAACTTTTCTTTTTTTTCAACTTTATAACTATTTTGAATTTGGAACACGTATATTATTTTAAAAACTTATTTCGATTTTGCGCCATTTCACATATTTTTTCGTGTTCATTATTTAATTACAATATGGAATGGGGTGTTAAAGAAAATAGGATTGCAGTGATCACCATGCACAAAGTGGGTATGGAGCCGTCGGTCATATTCCAGACATCCCAAAAGCTTGGTATGAGCCGTATATTCGTATATCGTACTATCACAGATACAACAACACTTCGTCTGTCGAAGACCAGATAAGATCGGGGCGGCCGCTGTGTTGTTAAAACTACAAAGGCTATTAATGCTGTTACAGCCAGAATTCGTCGAAACCCAATTAAGAAGCAAAAAATCTTATCGCGATAATTGAAGATTCCCGCTAGATATCTGTCGCGTATTATAAAACAAGAACTGAAGCTCGATGTTTATCGTCGATATACAGGACATGCCCTAAATCAATAATTACAATTTAAGAGAGTGGATCGATCAAAACATGCATTATAATTTTTAATAGAACTTATGGCTGGACTACATAAACACGTTTAA